AATTTAGACGAAGTTAATAAATTCAAAAATTAAATTTTACTTTATCAAACAGCTATTTTCAACCTATGTATTAATTCAATTTAGTATTATGATTAAAATGGAAATTAAATGTGCCATAAATAAATCTTGTAATAAGAATCTATAAATAATGATAATTAATAACTAACACAAGAATAGCGTTCTAGCTATACTCTAGTATTTAATTGAATTAAACTGTAATAGAAAATGTTTTAAATGAATAAATCAAAGAATATAATACACATAAAGGCAAACAGTTTTTTTGTACAATATAAATATTATATAAAACAAAAGACTTACATTTTCGCGCATCAATACAATCCTGGGTTTCTGAATGTGTAGGAGTAGGTGGACCCTCGCTGGTAATATTGCCACTTGTATCAACTTTTAATGGAACCATCACATCACTTCCAGTATTAGTTCGATCTCCACTAACAGACTGCTATAATAAAAGACAAGTATATACAATTATGAATACCATTTACACATGTTTTAAGATAAAAGAGGAAAGAAATAATTAGTTGATTATATTATCATTTGAAAATTACCGAATATATTCTCGATTACGTCACAAAAAAGTAGTTAAAAGTTACCGTTTTATTAATAGATAAGTATTAATAATTATGAAATTTTCGCGATTAATTAAAATAGTGTGAAAAAAATAATTAACTTACCAATTGATAATTAAAATAAATTATCGCATTACTTTAATTGAATTTTAACAGAATTTCAACAGAAAGAAATATAACTTATAATTTCATTATATGTTTCTAAGTATTAGAAATATTAAAAATGCTCTCTTACTTGTCGGGATAGCAAGATAGCTGTTTGAATTGTCTGTAATGCTTTCTGTGGTGTGATGTCAGGTTGTTCTTTGTTGCCCGTAATTTGTGATAGTAGTCTTGGGAGATTTGCTAGTGACACCGGTGGTCCCGGAGCATTACTACTTCCCTGTTGTTGCGTTGGCGAACTAAGTTTTCCAGTTGCCTGTGGTGTCGTTGACGATGGATGTGATGTTAATCGAGGTAACGCTAACAAAAGTACAATCAAAAATATCAATATCAAAAATCCATAAATTGAGGCATATAAAAATGTAATAAATTAATATTAAAAAAAAATTTTTAATTAAATCTTTAATTTAAATAAAAAAAATTTAATTTAAAAAAGTTCATAAAAACAATGATCATTGCAATTTCTCAAAAATAGAATGTTTCATGCATGATAAAATTATTATTATTCAGAATTGTCACAAATTCCTCATCTTAAAATTCCATAACTTTTCTCCGATTTCTAGAGAAAATTTAATGATTTTTTCTGAGGCTTTCAATAATATTTTGAAATTTTTGTATTTTCGTCTTAATTTGGAAAAATCAAGTCAAATATTTTATTGAGAATGCAATTTAACATAATGTAAATTATTATTAATGTTGCTGACACAGCTTGCATTTAATTGTTAAGCTGATAATTCCAAAACTACGTAAGTGTGATATACGCATATTGAACTTCTTTCTGAAAAGCCAAGATTTTTTATTTTTCAAAAAATTTTGCAAAATTCTCTGACTTTTCCCTGTTATTAAATATCATTTTAAATATTTCTTTAAACATTTTTTTACTTAATATATATTTTTAAAAATCATGTTTTTTCTATATGCTGCAACTTGTACATAATATAAAAGGAAAACCTACCAGCGGCCAGGAGAACAGGGCCTTGTGGCAGTGGATCATGAGCGCAGGATGACGTTAAAGGTTCCGAAGTGGGTGTAGAATCACCTGGCGAGATATCCATATCTTGAGTTTGGCGTTCTACACTAACTTCTTCTCTACATTCTCTAGATTCTCTTTCTCTTTCCCGTTCTCGTTCTCGTTCACGTTCACGTTCTCGCTCTCGTTCTCGTTCTCGTTCTCTTTCCCGTTCTTTTTCCCGTTCTCTCTCCCTTGCAGAAACATCATCTCTGCTACTGCCGCCACCGCTCGCACTACATAAACTCCAGTATTCTCGTTTGTCAGACTGTCGCGACGATTTACCATCTCGCATACTGCTACTGCTATTTGATCGCGAGTTGGAATGTTTATCATGACCTGCCCAGAAAAATTTCAGTTTTAGTAAAGTCTTATATGTATATATTTCATATATAAAAAAGTAAACAGTTTATTATATATGTAATGTGAATATAATGATAAATCCCTTAATCTTTTTAAATATATCACACAAACGCAATATGCATTTCTAGTTTATTTAATAAATAGTATAATATAAGATAAACTAAAAGATATGTCAAGTTTTAAAATAGGAAGAATTAAATAAATACATATTTTATTTGTATCAGTTTTCGTAAAGATTTTTCTATAACCAGGATTGTCACAGAAAATGAATTTAATACACATAAATGAATTTAAAAATTCCTGATTTTTCTAGGTTTTCCAGATAAAAGTTTCCATGACCAATATAAAATATGTAAAAATTTTAACATAATAAAAATATGTAAAATTTTAACATAATAAAATATGTAAAAATTTTTTTTTGACATTTAGACTCAAGGATTGTAAGAAAGCTAGCTTATATTATTAAAAACGCAAAAGAAGCTTAGAAGCATAATAAAATTTTGGGAACGAATTCAAGCCAACAAAAAATAAATTAGTATTGGAAAAAAGAATGCAGTTATGACAAAATTAACTAAAATTACTGAATAAATATTTAAATATATATTTAAATTATTTTTTTAAAATTGTTTAAAGTGCACGAGTTTTGAACGTATTTGATTATAAACATCAGATATAATATTTAAAAAATTATAAAAAATATTTGGAATAGGAGCAGTTTAAGGGAATTGTTCAATGTTTTTTTGTAAGTGCAAAGTTCCAGTCCTTTTTATATTATTCTCTGACTTTTCCCGGTTTTTCAGATCTGCGGCAACTCTGATAATGTAAATATTTATACAAATATCAAAACTATAAATATTAAATGTCAATTAAAAAAATCAAATTTATTATTATGTTTTATACTTAAACAAAAACTTACTTTATTTCATTATTCTTTTTCATTCATTATATCTAACACTTTACATATTGTATTTAACAATTATAAAAAAAGTCGTCGTGTGAGACTCATAACCAATAAGTTCAAATCCTGCATCTCTCTGTATCTATAGAAAACATCCTTCTATGTATACAAAAAAATTTCGTACTGACTTAGCGGAAGTCATAGAGAAGTTCTTTAAATCTAGGTAACTAACTCTTTGACTGTTCAGACATATAGGAATCCATTCCTCCGTTATTACTACTGATAATTATGATGAAAATTTAGACGTACTTGACCTAGAAGAGTAGTCACTAGATTGGCGTTGACGATTATCTGTCCGACTGATCCATTCCCGTGGTTTTTCCCATTGAGAAACCTCCGTCTTGCAGTTATAATAATACTTCTTTCCTGACGAACTCATGTGTTCGGACCAATCGCCAAATCTGGCTGTCCGTTCCGTTGCACCTCCTCGCTCATCACCACGTTTATCCTAAACAGACTGTTCTAAAATTTCCGGAAACAATTGAATAGATGGGGAATATTTGCATCAATTCCAAAAATTCCGTGAAAAGTTGACGTTATATTCATCTATATTCTTGAGGCTATTAAGATATTGATTACGTACACATAAAGTCATTTAAAATTATGGTAACAAACAAAAATATATAGAAGTTTTCAGAATAATTTTTTTTTTAATCAATTGAAATAAATATGTAATTAAATTTTGCTGGAATGAATGTATAACAATTAAATAATGATATAATTTTATCTTTTTTACTTAGAATTTTGAATTTATAACTGATGCCAATATAAAATGAATAAACGTAATTATAATAATACACTGACCTGACAAGAATTATGTGATGGTTTTCTCTGGGATGAAGATTCCCTTGATGAATTTGATGATAATTTTAAGGGATGTAAGATCTATAAAGACATGAATACAAACATTATTATGATAGTGCACATGCATCTAAAAAGATATATATTGGATTGTTCGGAAAGTTCGTGCCAATTTTGAAGGAAAATTGAAACACAGAAGATTTAAATTTTACATTTATTAAAATTATAGGTGCCATTCTGTTCTATCTTTCTCCATCTTTCAGGCAATTTGAAAATTCCATCCTTCCAAAATCTCAGGTTTTTCAGCGAAAAACTTTTCTAAGTGATTTTTTACCTGATTTTTTACAAAGAGTTGAAGCTTTTTCCATTAAGGGAATTTTGTAATAATCGAAGTAGGTGGAAATCAAAGGGCGCGAGATCTGATGAATATGGTGGATGGGGTAGAACATCCCAATCGAGCTCCAACAATTTTTGTCAAGTTATGAAAGACATATGAAGCCGCGCATTTTCCTGATGAAACACGACGCCCTTCTGATTCGCTATTTCTGAACGTATTTATTCAATTGCTGTCTTCTTTGTCTAATTGGGAATAATACTTCTCTGAATTTATGGTCTCGTTGTTTGGTAAAAAACTCATAATACAAGATCCCTTTCCAATCCCACCAGACACAGAGCATGACCTTCTTTGGATGAAGATCGGCTTTTGGAATGGCTAAAAATGGTTCATTCCGCTTTCCCCAAGATCCTTTTTGCTCAACATTATTATAAATGATCCATTTTTCATCCTCCGTTACTACTTGTTTCAAAAATGATGCCTCCTCGTTGTATTTAGAGCGAGTCGAAAATGGAAATGCGATCCATCAGATTTTTCTCCGTTAAATCGTGAGGAACCCATACATCAAAACGGTTTATGTAGCCAAGCTTCACAAAATGTTCGTGGATGGTGGATTTTGACATATTCAACATTTCTGCTAATTTATGTGTCGTATAGCGTGAGTTATTCTCGATCAGTATTTTAATCTGATCTTCATCTGTGGTGGAGGGCCTACCCGGGCGTTCTTGATCTTCAAGATTGAAATCACCAGCTTTAAACCTAGCAAATCACTTCCGCACAGTTCTTTCAGCTACCTTCGCCATAAACAGCGCATATCTTATTTGTTGCTTGTGTAGCATTTTTGCCTTTCCGGTAAAAGAAAAGCATTAAATGCTTAAAATGCACTTTGTTTTCTTTCATATTCAAAGGCACATAAAACTGACAAAAATTAATGTATCGCAACTAAATTTTTTTGAAGTATGCCTGAAGTATCGTCTTTTATGATATGTACGCATGTCATTTGTTTTCAATCGTTCTAATATATTCAAATCTGTCCTTAGGTCACCTACCAAAAATCGGCACGAACTTTCCAGACAATCTAATTTAATTTAAAAAGGCATGTAATATTAAATGCCTTTTTTAAGCAAAGTTTTAAATAAATTTATCGGACTGTGACCACAAGTTATTTAACAGTCCATTTGCTGGTCGGAACATGAAACATTTTTAATAAAAACCCATTATGACTGTACATGCCTAAAAGAAATAGATATCTATTTCATATATGTATATATTTTTATAATTTAAGTATATATATTTAAAATTTTCCCAAAATTAAAAATTTGCAAATTCTCTTTTTTGCAACAACTTTTTTTGTATAGTTTAATATTTTTTATAATAGAAATTAAAAATAGTAAAAAAATTTGTAATATATAGCATGAGTAAAAATAAATTTATGTCTAATAACTAGAGGATTTATTTATACATATGGTACAATAAATGTTTCGGAGCAACTCTGAAAAAGATCAGAACACTTATAATGGGCAATTATATTCTTTTTATTATATGTAATTATAATTATTAAATTATACATTAAAGTTGAAGATACTCACCTCCCCACTACTCCTATCGTGGTTGGTCCTGTGTTCTGAATCCCTGCTCTCACGGCTTCTCTTGTCTTTTAGGGATCGTGCACAATCTACACATATGCAAGCAAGCATGTTACAGCTGAAAATATTAAGAGACAATTCTGTTTTTATACTGAAGAAAGGAAAGGGAGATGAGATTCTAGATAAAAAAAAGGAAAATTATTACTTCGTAGAAACATTACCACCTATATGTTGTACAAAAAAATATGTAGTAACTGATATTTATAAAGATTTGTATTCAATAATATTCACAAATTTATGCTTTCTTTATTGGGTGATTGTTAAAATATAAAAGCTCGCTTTATGCAGAATATTGAGGACACACAAAAATAACAGTTTTGTTGCAGAACCTAAAAATTTATAACTCGATATAGATCTGAAAATAATTTTGTTTGCCATCAAAATAATTATGCAAAACGTTTAAACATTAATTGACAATGCTGCAAAAAGTTTTATTATTCTAGTGACTAGTTTAAATGTCTTACAGAATTATTTTGATGATTCAAACAAAATTATTTTCATATTTATCAAGTTAAAATTTCAATTATTTTAACAAAACCGTTCTTTCCGTGGAGCAAAATAAAAATTATTTACCGGAATACTTGTCCCTAGAGGAGGATAGTTTATAGTCTCTATTTTCTCTCTCCTTCTTGTAAAGAGGCTTGGATGTGTAATTCCGAGGGCTGTCCCGGTCCGTCCCCATGCCCATTCCCAAGCTGCCAGCTGGACTGTAAGAGTTACCATTTGGAGAGTCGCGCATACGTCCTTCGTAGCGACTGTCCGATGACGTGGTCGAGGAGGAATAGCCACCCTTAGAACTGCTGTACTTTGCGTTCTACAATCAGATCATTAACAATGTGTTTGGGATATTCATGACCACATAAGACATTATATAAATGAATAGGATACATCAAGATTGCTTACTTTTTTCATTCTGAACATATAAGATCGTTATTAAAAATGCTATTAATTATTACAAGCTTGATAATCCACTTGAGAATAACACTGTTTTGATCTAATGGCCGTTTGCAAGAATGTATGTGTGAGAGCTATATATTGACTAATGATATTAAAAAGAACTGAAAAGGAACAAATATCAAATATTGAATAACGTTAGTAAAAATGATTATATAATTCTGAAAAATCTCTGGTTCTTCTATGGAATCAATGGGAAATCAAATTGAAGTCAATTCCATAAAATCACCAAATTTTTTTAGAAATACTAATTGCGCTTACCATCTCTAAATATCTTTTGTATCAATTATGCATATTCTATTTTTAATCTTAAAAACAAATTCTTATCAACCAAATATATTTCATTCTAGTAAAGACTATATGAATATTTCCTAATATTATTAGGAAAATTACTTCAAACACAGATTATGTTGTATCCTAAATGTTTCAAGTACAAAGAGAATCTATCAAGTTACTGTGATTTGAGGATTATCACATTTATAGTTATTTCCGACAAAATACAGAAGAAAATGATACAAAAGCCGTTAAAACATGAGAGGGACTGAAATAAGATTCTTACCAAGATAGGATCTCAAATATTTTTAGAGAATTACCTACTAGAATAAATTATTGATTTTTTGAAAAGTGAGGTTATGTTTACAAGACACTTTACCAGCAGGAAATTATTTCGTATTGGATATAAAAATTGGGCGATACTGCGATTAATTACCATTCTCCCCATCTCGTGTGGACCGATTTAAATATTGAGAACATAAATATTCGATTGTTAATACCATCCAGCACAAATAATAGCTTCAACAGGACAAACACCACAGACAATCAATGAGAGCGGGACAAATTCTTATAACTAATTACATTATTACAATATAATTTATCTATAAAGTACCTCAATTCGCATCGCGACAATGCGTTTAACGTATGAAATATTGTCAATGACCAAAATGTCACTTGTCAAAGCTGATTCTTTTCGCCTTGTCGAGCTCGTCAAATGCACTCGAGGAGTCTTACGCGTAATATAGAAAATTGTCGACGATTAAGCCAATCGCGCGACTATTCGGCGACGATGTTGGCGTGCCTCAACCTGAACGATCGACTTTACCTTGCTCACATGCAAAGAAAAAATCGAAACGAGAAACGCGGTAATAACGACGACAAAGACGAGCCCGACGCGACGGGAGCAGACGGGAGCGTGCACAATGGAGCAGACGATCTCGCGGAGACGTAACGGCGCGTGAAAATTGAATCGCGTTGACGTGATCGTCCGGATGTCGTATTGCCGCGGGATCATCATCGAACGTGCATTATCGATTCCCGGTCGCGCGAGGTTCGCGAGTCCTGAGCCCTGGCGGAAAGAGAGCGACGGCAAATGGAGCTCGTTTCTCACCGCCGTACCCCGTCAGCCGAGAAACCGAATACGAACTTTGGAACTCCTCTGCGCGGAAGAGAGCTGTCACCGCGGTTGGGTCCCGTCGTGTCCTCCGCGCAAGAACCAGAGCGATCTCATCTTTCTCTGTCTCTCTTTCTCTTTCTCTCCTCCTCTCCTTCTCCTCCTCCTCCCCGTCTTCAGCAGACGTGTCGCGCGGGCAACGACGCGGAACCGCGGGCGAAAATAATGCGTGCTGCTTGACGATGGATGATGAAGACTCCGATGATCGTACCAGACGATGTGAGGTTGTCCGTCCCGAGAAATGATCACATTTCCCCCCTCACCCCCTCCCCGCCCTTAATCGTATCGTAGATCCCACCAATCGCTTCGGTGGTGACAGATATTTACCTGATAGGGATGGGCCTGGTGCTTTTCGAAGTACCTGGAATCATAAGACAACGGGCCGTGAGCGAGGGAGGTTGTGGCGCGGTGTCCGCCGCCGTCGCGGTCATTTCCACGGGGAACGGCACCCGAGCGGATCCCCATCGTGGAAACTGGCTGTGCCCGCGGTAAGTCGTGCGGCGGTTTTGTGGCAGTGAGTGCTGCGATGAGTGTGTACGGTCGAGCGGGTCGTACGGACGAATGTCGGGTGAACGAGAGGTGAGGTGAGCTAGTGCGGAGAGCGAGAGCGAGAGAAAGAGAGAGAGTAGCGAGGAGAGGAGAGGAGAGAAAGAGAGAGAGAGAGAGAGAGAGATTAGCCGTGTGTCAGTATCGGGTATTTGACGGTAGAGCCCTACCCATCGCTGATCCTTTGAGGTTTCCTCGCATGCATTACCATCAATGCCAGTGTCTGTGGGAAATTCGCGGCCTCGGATGTTCCCTTTTTGGTCGGTCAGTGTCATAAAAACAACATTAACGTTTATTTAGCAGTTAACTTTCTTTCTACCCGGACGCCATGTCACATACGTGCTCGGCCGCTGCCGGGCGACTTGGACGAAACGTTCGCGCGACGGCGTGCGCGCAGTGAGCGCACCCCGCTGGTGGGGGAGCTCCGATCACGTCCAGGGACGTGGGGCACGAAGGTGCGCGGCGGATATTGTTTAGTTCCATAAATGCATACATACATATATATATATATATATATATATATATATATGGCGTATATCAGTATATGTATATACGTGTACAGCACACTAAACCAATCGTTTCAGCGAGCGCCGAGAGTTTACACAAGCTTCAGACACGATACGCCCAACGCGACTATATAGCCATTTGTGCCAATTGTCAACTTCCGGGAATCCATAATCTCGCAGGAAACGCGTCTCCTCCGAGATTCGCAATTGTTAACGCGAATACGAGTCGCGAGTTCAATCATATCGGTCCGCTAATTTCCCCGCGGATATTCCGAGAAAAAAAACTGCATTTGTCGGAAAGAATGAAATTTCAGAAGGATCCTCTGTAATATCCGCACGCACCTCCGGGAATATCTAACGTTCGCCAGTTTACGTACATACAACACGCGTGACGCGGCGTGGCACGGTCTTCGCGATTGTCGCGAAATATCGTGATTATCGAGCACGCACCTGACGCGACGGTGACGGACGGTTCCGCGCACTGCGCAGAGCGGGCGTGCGCAACCTGCGCGCACAGCGCTGTCGGGGCCGTCGGCCGTTGCAGCAGGCGAGACGCGAGGAGCGTCGAACGCAACGCTCACTCACTGCTGACGTTTGCGCAGCCGAGCGATTTGCAATTGGCAATTTCAGCGAACGTTGCATTTTCGCTATGAGTTCTGAACGAATTTGCACCGACCTGGGAAATTAAATTAAAAACGTTGTTCTATTATTGATAGAGCAATGAACATCATCAGGCCAACTTAAGTCGGTGCTATTAGTTGCGTTCGCCTTAAATGCTTTCATCGCTTTTATGCTTATACTCTTATTTTATGTAGCCAATTATACACTGATTTAACTGTGTGTAAAAATAAAATATAAATATTTCGAATTGTAAAATACAGATTTTTACTTAACCATCGCAATAAAATGTATTAAGCTTTTATGAGCATCTCTCAAGTGTTTAATTGGATTTTATATTAAACACATTTTTCAATTTGTGTGTATGTATCATGGCTTTAATGTGCACCAGTACACACCGAGTGCATTCAATCGAATTCATAATGAACGATAAAGAGGCGCTCGGATAAAATATTTGCCACGATGCCAGTACATTATGATAGCTAGCCAACTCCTCATCTGACGTAACTTCTGTCTGACAGCATATCGCGATCTGCATGCTGTGCGAATATTGTGCTTGTAAAAACGCCAGTAATCAGACCTAAAATTTCGACTACACATCGTGATCAATCGACAGTACTATGCAAACATCATCTGCTTTATCGTACAAAATGACACAATAACGGCTGCATATTGACTGTGTTATACATTGGTACAATGTGCTGGCATGCGAGGTTATTTAGGGATGCTCAAAGCATGTAAAAATGTTAAATCCGAACGCAGGTCGCAGCCTTGGCAAGTTGCGAGTGTCAGCCGACAGGCGGCGCGTTGACAACACAAACGACCGAGCTACAACGAACGAACGAAACGAGTGCTGTCTCTGAAATATCACTGGCTAAGTGAACTCCGTGACACGGGCCCGAGTTGGGGACCAAGGCCAAAACAAAGGAAGAAGAACAAGCAATAAACGAGTAAGCGAGCGAGTGAGCGAAGTGCGTCGTCGACAGCGAACAGCAATTAACGAGCGGAGCACGAACGCGTCCTGACTCCTGACTCCTGCCTTACGCGTTTAGTGGTCGTAAATCTCGGAAGATGCCGCAGCCTCATAGACGGCTGATTTAGCTGCTGCTGCGAACGGAGAAACGGCCGAACGGCTACGGGCTACGCCAGACGTGACCAGACGTGATTCGGATGCGACTCGGAAGAAACGCTCGGCCAGGAAGAGAACTCGCTCAACCGGGAAGAGAAGCCTCCACGTTGACAAGCTACTATACGCTAAGAGGACACGGCGAGTTATCGTCACGTCAGAAATCTGCGACAGACGCTGTAAGACGAAGAAACTTTTTCTTTTCGAATGATTTCAGATTTCTTTTCGAATAATTTCCCTTGTTCCTTGCCACGAAAGAACCACTGCATGATAATTTTATATGAAACATATCGCGTGCCGCAATGATATTAAACAGATAGGTCTGCACCTGTCACAATAACCGAAAGTTGTTGGCGGTTTCTGACACATTTAGATATACCTACTTCTCTATCACATTACTCTTATTAATTCTAATTTGACTTTTCTATTAATTACTATATCTATATATAACAAATTTTGACAATGAAGTTTTGCTGTTTTAAACATTTGGTTTATATATTACTTTTTATTAATATGATATAACTTTATCGTAAATATAACATACACAGAAAACAATTTTAATACCTGATTACCTTACCTGATTAATAATAATAATTATTATTTAAAATACCAATAGTCATTAAATTTTGATATATAATATACATTTTTTATGTATATCATAAAAAATATATTTTTTATAAATTTGTAAAAACAAATTTGAATAATCAGTAATTATGCCTTTCAATATATGATTTGATTGGTACAAGATGTTTGTCTATTAAATAAAATATTATAAATTAATATTAAAATGTAAATTTAAAACATTAAATATTGATTATTGTATTGTGCATGTTGTAAGTCTTCTTATAATTGCAGAGGATTTATACTGTAAACCTACAGAGCTACAAAGGAAGATATTGTTATGGATTCCAATTCTAAGTATGAAAGTAATAAAAACACAAAAAAACGTTCAAAAAATCAGGAAAAACGTCTGGAAGATGTCAGATTGGAAGATAATAACAAAATTGAACAACTACTTCCATGGTTACTAAAATTCAATAAAATCATACATTCATATACAGGAAGTAGAAATTATGAACATCTGGAACGATTGCTTTTCTTCTACACCCAGTAAGATTATCATTTACATCATTATGAAGATCCAGTTCAACGTTGTTAAATTTTTTACAAGTAGAAATTTCACACATATATAAACAGATCGGGGATTAAATAAGGTATATATAAAAGATATGTAATTTTGCTGTATTTCAGGAATATTCTTTCTAGCGTAGCAGAGAACACTGTCGAATTTAATGATAAAATTAATTTGATAAAAAATCATATTAATAAAATGTTAATATTCTTTCACATGTATTGGCTTGATATAAAACAGCAGGTACTATTATCCTAATTATTTGTTTTACAGAATTGTAAATATAAGATTATTGTTAATCTTTTGTCTCTTTTTTTTTCTCAGAATGTAGATTATAGTCAATATTTAAATAAAATATCAGCTTTGTTAAATGTATATATAGATATGGAGTTAAAAACTTCTAGTCACGTCGTTAAAGATTCTTCTAAAGTTGCAGCAAAGATTCTTGCAGCATTGTACATATACTTAAGTAAGTGTTATCAAAAATTGATTTTGGAAAAATTGATTTGATCTGATTGTCGATAAATAAGAGAGAGAGAGAGAGTTCTCTAATATTAAACTGTTTACAGATAACTCGGAAGAACATATTTTTAGGATATTACTTAGAAATAAACACACAAAAAAATATACAAAAGTATGCAATCATATATTTATGTACGTAAATATATTTTTTAACATATTATATCATAGATGTCTCAGACAATAAATTGAGATAATACAGATTATATTTTTTTTACATAGGAGGAGCTTTACTAATCTCAAAACAAAGACGACGTCTATAACCGATGTAGCTTACATCAGATATTTGCTCGCCTTTAAAATATGGAGAAAAATGGAAGAAACAGCAAAGAAGTTAAATCTTTCTGACAAAAAGAAAAGAATTGATGAGTTAGCCCTAATGCTGTTAGGACCGCGTATGCCAAAATTGCAAGACGAATTATTGAAATTTGTGCCTAGACCACCTATTCAAGAAAAAAATGAAACACTATGGTTAATAGAATCAAACCAATTTGATATAAAGGAATTTCATAAACAGTTCCTGCTATTTGAAGACAAAATGGACAACTCTACAGGTTTAAAATATACCAAAACAATTCATGCTGATCAGACTTGTTCAAAATCTCAGGTAAGATCTTTTAATAGTGTTTCATCTCAAATTATATGTGAAGATCTTTACATTTATTAAGTATAATGCAAATTTTAACGTTTGAAATACTGCTTTTTCAGAAGCATCAGATAAATTCATTATTTTGTCCAAATAATTCTAATGGAAGTACATCTGAACAGAAAGTAAATAAATGCTTAGATGGTTTACGAAATAATAATACATTATCAAATAATAAAAATAATAAAAATAAATGTTTGGAAACTCATTTACAAAAAAGTGGATCAAGAAGCCTTAAACCATTGAAAAAAAACAATTCACACAAAATTATAATAATTGATTTAACTGGAGATGATAAAGTAAAAAGAAAAAGGACTAATCGAAATTCGGAATCATCGAAAGTTAAGAAAAATAAGAGAAACAAAAAGAAGCATATCAATTCTTCAAAATATTTAAACAAACTTACAAATTCCGATGTTAAAGAACATTCTAATGAAGACAACAAAAATTTAAAAGAAAAAAATCGTTTAGAATCTAAACCTGTCGATATCAAAAGTAGTAATGGTATAGAAAATTGTACTTTAGTTAGCAGTGATACCTGTATGGAGTTTACAAAAGAGAATGAGAAACAACACAGTTATAACTTGCATTATTTGAATTCAGCGATGTTAGACGATCAGAATATTAACGAGTTAAAGACTAATGTGTCGGAAAAAAATAAACTAAAGAATTGTGTATCATCTAATATGACAATAGAAGATATAACTAGATCTTGTGACAATTCGATAACACAAAATAAGGATGCATTAACATCTCAGGAAGAAAGTGCCATGGAGACAATACCTTTAAAAACGTGCCAAAACAATGTTACAGATCAGCAGAATTATCAATTTGATTTTAAGCAAGAATTTCCAACAAGTGCGGATTGTGCGATACAAAAATCGTGTCCGTGTTGCAATACAAGGCATGTTGATCATTTTATAATGACTAGTTTACAATTTATAACTGATCGTAGCTCACTAATTACGGAAATGATGAAACAGAATGTATGTCAAATTAATAAATGTCCAAAGTATTGTACAAACGTTATCGTGGCAAAAGCACAAGGGAATCTGCATAATACATTTTACGATAATGAAAACGATATCAAATTGACTTGCGACACAATAAAAAATGATTGCAATAAATATGTTTATCTTTTGAATCATACTGATAAATGTGTCACGACTGTACACGCTGAAAAGAGAGTACAATGTTTAGATAAATCCAATGACAAATGTACTGTTTCAACTACATTTACTGAAGATAAAGTTGTAGACTCACCATCGTATAGTCAACATGTCAATGATAAATTTGTAAAAATAAATGATCACGATAGTAAATATTCTGAAACTATGATAAAGGAACAACAAAAAGAAAGTGATTCTTTTACATTAAATGATCGATTACATTTCTCCAATGTAGACGTCGATTATAACATGAAAAAATTTTTCCCCAAAAAAGAAGAAACTGACGAAATGACAAACAATATAGACTTGGAGCACAACAATTTTGTAAATGATATCCAAAGTGAAACTCTTATGGAAGATGTCTTCTGGCAACCTTCTGAACAGCCCGAAATTAATTTAGCCGGTGTACTAAATAAATCTGAGGACACATGTATTGTCTCAACTACATTTATTGAAGACCAAATTATGGAATCGTCAATGGACAGTCAGCGTGTCAATTCAGATAATAGAAGAAAATGTGTTTACGAATATACGATGAAAGAACGAGGAAAAAGCGACTGCGATACTTTGATGTCCTCTGAACATTCATTTAATACTGACTTTTTTGAAATAGATTCAAAAGAAATTAGTGAAGTAATGAAAACTAATTGTATAAATGACTTTGAAGATATCAGTGTCTCACATTTTCAAACTTTGGAAGATTTATTAACGAATGACACTACTAATTTCCTACCTCAGGAATATTTGTTTTAATTTGTTTTAAAAAATATATATACACTCACATACATCATTTAACAAAAATAACGTTCTATGCAATAATCAAAATGCTATTGATAGTAATACGAATTTGATAATTTCTCTAAATTTAAATGCTGATACACTTTTCTGCTATTGTTAGCAAAACTCGATAAACCTATGTCACTAAATCATAATGAATCATCACAATGCTAAATATTATTGTAAATTAATTCAAATATCACTCTTTATTTCAAAGTTGTGGAATTTCGATACTCTTCCTAATAAGTGAAATAACGATATCTTAACTAAATTTTTTATGTTTGCAAGAAAGATGCTGAAAGCTTTCATATCCTGAAAGATAGACTAAATTCTTTAATTAATTCTTAAATGAATTTTATATATTCAAGAATATTTGAATTTCAGAGAATTCAAGAAATGCTGTCAAATTATTCAATAAAAAAGAAAAAATTCTGCCTCAACATCATAGAGATTGCGTAGAGATACATATTAGCGCCAAGACAGTACTGTATCTCCAGATTTTCGTCCTTAAATGATTCTGATTGACTTTTAATTAAAATAATATTTAATCAATCGTTTGTGAATGCTACTAAGTCGCAAGCTATCAAATATAATAGATTATTATTTACTGAAGAAACCGTGAAGAAAAAAATACAATACAATAACGATGTTCACAAAAAGTCATATTGAAAAATTTCCAATCTCAAGAGAGATGAGCTCAATATATTGAGATATGCCGTCAACAAATTGGTTACTATCGTAAAAGGAATAATCTGCTTGAACATCTTATGCAACTGTATAAGATAAAATTTTATTTTGAATGAATCTTAATAGTAATTTAAGACTACATCACAATAATTAAGACCATAAGGTAACAAATATTAAGAAGTAGACTATCAGATGCATCAAATCATCACCCACTGAAAAAACATCTAAGAAGAAAAAAGAAAGAATTGTAGTTTTATCTATAGTTTTATTCTTTCTAAATGCTGAATAAACTTGTTTACTCTGATTCAGTATGATGTTCGAGAAGGAAAAATTGTATTTTCTACATTAAAAAAAGGTAACTTATTTAAATCTATGTTTTTGAAATCTCATATTATCATTTGAGGTTATTGTATTATTTTTTAGAATTATAAAAACTAAAACATTACGTATATATATATATATATACACCTACACAGAAGAACATCAAGATACATAATACATCTCCGAAGATTATCCTCTTCCTATATCACAAAATAATTTATAAAAATTGTTGGCGTTTATTATAGAAAATATTTGTAAAATTATCATTTTTTTAAATTTCACAGAATATTAATAAGTGATAAATTAAAATTTATTAAAATTTAAATATAAAGCTAACATAATTATTAATTATATGTAAAACATAGATGTGTGTAAAATATTTAGAACATTGTTCCCTTAATTTAATATTTTCCATGAAACAAATTAATTTTATTTATACATAAAAAGAATAAAAAAATTAATTTAAAAATTATTCTTTATATAGGAAGTAATATTAAATTGTATATGTATGAAATAATTTAATTTATCATTTGTATACCTATTATTTAAAATGTAACTTATATGTAATGTAATTATTTTCTATGAAATTGATATAAATAATGTATTTAAATCATCTGTTTGAAGATACTGTAATTAAAACTTGTGTAAGAAGATAGTGCCTTATTGGCTTAATAATTATTCATTAATATATCACATTATTATTATTGAATCATTTAATATTTAATATTTATATTTACTGACATTTTATTTTATTTTCAGAACTTATATCTATGTGTAGAAGAACATGAAAAAATGCAGTGGGTGAGTGTAATGTACATTATTATATAAAGCCTCTCATTTTAAAACTTGGCTATCTCCGTAATTTCAATTTTATAATTAAAAAAATAGACAAAAATTGCAGTTATCAGTTTCTGTTGTAATTACGAATTTAACGAATTTAATAAATTCCGAAAATATTTTTAGCAATTCGTGTATTCAACATATAATAAAGGAAATTTATGAAAGAGTATTTGTATAAGACATAAATTTTAAATTGTAATAATTATTTTTTAATTCTGTAGATATAATAATATAATTGGTACTTGATATTTTAATCTTCACACCAAATTGTTATTCATTATTATTTATTTTTATAAATATCAAATTTTTCTAAGTAATTTTTTATTAGAGATAACGAGTTTTGCAATAAGATAATATCTTTCATCAATATCTTCAATATTTAATATATTCAGGCTTCTTGTGATTTCGATTCGATTTTTCTAGAATATAAATATTCCAAATTTAAATAATTTTCATGTACGATAATTACGAAGTTAAAAAAGTTATTTAAAAAAATTATTTAAAAAATTATACATGCTTTATTTAAATAGCAATTAAAGGATATTGATTATACATCTACTTACTACGATGTCATTTTTTAGATTTTTGTTTGATTAGAACATTTGACATAAATTGTTAATATAGTAGGATTGGATCACAAAGGCCTAAATGTAATAAAGAAATTATATTTATTACATATGTGCATTTGTTTATTACAGCGTGATTGATTGTCGTTTATGCTCCTGAAGAAGTCGCCAATTTTTAACTACTTACGCTAAGTCGCCAATTTTTAACTACTTACGCTAAGTAATTCAATGATTGAAATAAAAATTGAACATATGATACCGAAAATTATTAGATTAAAAGCTTCCAAGATATTAAACAATAAGATATTAAACAACGCGATGTAGAGTTGCCACCTTTTAGCTTGAATCAAAAACTCTGAATTTTGAAGATTTATGTCCGAGTTTCGTTACTTCTCCACGTTGCATAAAATGTAAAAAATGTCTTATGTAGTTTTTAATGAAAAAAATTCCCTACAGCATTGAAAAAAACTAAGAAGAGCGTTTCGAATAAGATGTATACATTACGATGTTATATTTATCGATAAACTGTTATGAATTTATCAAGAAATTTGAAAATATGGAGCTTGTTAAAACTGCAAATATTTATGAAAATGAAGCCAATAAAAATAATAATTTATATATTTATTATGTAATTGTGCGCATCCCGGGAAAAAATATATAGTTATATATAATTATATACATATAAAATATGCCCCTATAATATTTTTTCCTGGGATATCATTTATATAATTCATATATTTTCTGTTTCATGATTGTCAAAATTGCTTTTTATTATTTAATCATTTTTTTATCTTATAATATTTTTGGATTTTTCTTATTTTGATAATTTTCATAAATATTAACTTTTTTCTTTTTCTGATACCGAACGACTATTTAGGTGGCAACGCTAACGCAATATAATTATTATATTATCGTACAATTATTCAGACATAATCTATAAAATTAAAAGTTTATAAAAAGAGAAATAATATTTTTTAAGTTATGTTTAATTTATAATTGTATCATATGGTCAAGAAGCATTTCTGGCAGATTTTTTTTTTAATATGTATTTTATGTATATAGATATATACGTATATATTACGCACGTATATTACTTTATAGTTGCATTTAAATATTAAGTAAATATATGAATATAATGCGATATACGTGTTGAAAAGAAAGAGGAACTATTCTCAGTAATAATAATAATATTATCATTTATTCTGGTAAAAGTTAAATTTCTGAGGTATATTTCCAAAGTTATTGCAGAAGTAGATTAATAGGGATGAACTAGTAAAAAATTTTATTACACGGATTATATTTAAAGAAAATACATTTTACCTTAAATTTTTAATAAGGTGGAAATAATTAATGATTATATTAATTAGTAGAATTAATTATTACTTGGAATATACCAGTATTGAATATCTGGAAAATTTATTATCAATTTTGATAATTTGAAAAAGTCACATATACACAAACAGAATTAATAATAATAATAATTTTCATATACTATATATTAATTAGTGTACACTGCTTTTCCTGTGTTTTGTTAACTTAATTTAATCATTAGCGAAATAATATAGAACAGTATATGAAAGTATATGAATTGAGTCGCTAAACATTTTTTATTGTGCTCGTTTATTGCTATTTGGCAATAAAAGGATATTTACTTCCTTATGTAATTTATTTTTACTGCACTTTTCTCTAATGCGTAAAAATCTGGACCAAATCATAATTTGTATGAAGTCTTTTAGTTGTTAAAAAGTTATTTTAATTAAATAACTTGGACTTTTATTTAAAAAACATAGTTTTATAAAAAAATATTAAATGAATTAATAATTTATTGTGTCTAGTCGATGAGGTTGATGGATTCTTCATATAAAGAAGAATTCTATGATATTTAGTATTAAAATTTAATTTGTTGTATATTTCTTTGTCAATATCTGTAGAGACTGATTTTATGGTACCTCATATTTAGTACAAGTAGATAAAAATCCTCTTGATAATGGGAGACGTATTACTGATATTAGTATTGAACAAAGTGTTTTAAGATTTGACGGTAGATATCATAGATTATGATGTCAGAAAAACATTTATTCAAGTTTGCGAGAATGATCTTTCTTGAACAGATTCAGAAAATTTTTGAAAATGCGATATAAACATTACTTTGAGTTCAACAAATTATGTGAAAACAAAGTTTCGAAACTTGTTTACAATTAGGCTTGTTAACAATTAGATAGATAAAGTTATTGTGAATCATAGAAAATCATAAAGTATGTTGCCTGACATCTGACATTATAATATAAGCTTAATAACGAATCTTTTAAGAAATACATTCCTATTTTTTTCATATATTTTACAAAATAAATTACAAGATTATTGCTTGCCATATTATTGCTGAAGATAATCTACTTTTTATTACATTTCCTTTAATTTTCAAATGCATTGAGAACAAATATTCTTTAAAGACTTCATATTCTTTAAGACTTTTAGCAAGGTAGAAATGACACAAAGTAATCGTGCACAAATGTTTGCAAAATAGATGATAGTTATTTTAAATTGCATGTGTATAAGTTGCAGAAGAAAATATTTTATATTTCTAAAGTTGCATATTGTAAGAGCATTTACACAGAATGACATAAATTCGAACACATGTTCTACGTCCTATGTAAATAGTAATGTATAAAAAGAAAGTGTGTGGAAATTTATTTTGTTGCGCTTATACCTCGAATATTTTATATTTATTGTAGACAACCTCACTTCACTGAATGGATCACTATTCTAAAAAAACATATACATATATATACATAATTTAATTCGAAAGATTGCATAATTTATAGTTTACAGCCAGTAGATAGTAAATAAATGAAATATATTCTCTAGAATAAAGTTTATCCGAAGGAAGAGGATATTCTTACTAATATTATCCTAAATGAATACAGTGCTCTGATAAACGTATATTTTAAAAAATTGCATTCGCGCATACGAGTATATATAATTCAATACATTTCAGTATATTACTAAATAATCGTTAACACATGTATAACAAATATCAGCTCTCTTAAGCAAGCAACATTGCTTCGTCATAGAATTAAATAATATTATCGCATTTGGTGAAAATTTATTTTCTGGGAATAGTGCAATGGAAGCTTTAAAACTGTTTCCTTTATTGCATTATATTGTACATGTTTTTGTGTTGAATGTACATGTCAGCGATTTAAAACGTAATTCTAATCTCTCTTTTTCTGCAAATTTTATAATAAAATGTTATTTATTTACAACTTCATCCTCTAGGCCTAAGAACACAGCTGTATCTTTTTTTTTCGTCATTCTTATATACAAAATATTTATGTAATAAATACTGTATATGTGTACTGTGTAAGGAACTTCTATCAAATTTGTCAAAAGAAGTCAGACCTGGTTATGCAGTTTATATGCGTAAGAGTTTCGAGATAATATACAAACTCATTATATGTCTATCAAATTATGCAAGTTATATTTTATTGTATATTTCTTTGTAAAGTATCAATATGAAAGGCAGAATATGTTTAGACGATGCTTTCACATGGTTTTAAAATAAGTTCATTCGCTTACCGCTCGTATTGCGTAAAATATTTAAGTATGCAGTTAGATTAATAAAGATATAATGATATTTAGTCGAATACTTTGTTAGTTATGTAATACATCTCCTAATTTTATCGAATTCAAATTTTTATGTATAAACCATTAATATTTTAAATATTTTTTTACAAGAGTATTCATAAATTTTCATATATAAGTTCAATAATTGTATATATATGTAGATCTATATAAATTAATTTTCCTGTATTGTATTCTATGCGTAAAAACATTATATTGTGATAAGTTAAACCCACAATGTACAACAATGCAGAGACTGAAAAAAAGAATAAAAGTTCAATTTTTAATACATTCGAGTTATTCATTTATTACGCGCAATTGTACAAAATCAATTGGAAAATTTATTATTCAGTTTAGAAACATTTCGATAATCTAGTCAAAAAGAAATACTATTTTCATTAATGCAGAACTTGTATTTCTATATGCAAGAATATTAAATTACTACTATCATTTTAGAAGCATTCAATATATTTCCTCTCACTAAGTATATTTAATTCGTAAATACTTGTTTTATTCTCTAGCATAGGATATAGAATATATATGTATGTGAAAAAAATGATAAAATCTCATTCATCTTGTTTGCATAGAAAAGTGATTGCAATATAACGGTGTAATAAACACATTCGGATGTGACCAACCATTTACCTAAAAATATTTACAAATCTTGGGCGATGTTTATTATTGACATAATAAAAATAAATTTTACTAAAATTGAAAGAAAAAGTTGTGATAATTAGATACACTTGTAAAATAAATTAGTATCTCTGAATAAAGAAGGTATCTGTAATTATATAAACTAACGAACATTGTAAGCTTGTTGAATATTTTTTCGCTTTTACCCTGTTCAGAGGTATGTTCTCTATATATTCTATTTTTAGTTAATAAGTATACATACTTATGTAAAATATAATGAACTCGATGCTGCAAGCATCAAAAGCATATTAATTTTACCCTGTTGTGTGAGAGTTTCTAACATTTCTATTCTTATTTCATAGGTAATAGCGATGAATCTATAGTTCCAATGAGTATAATATAGAAAGAGGTAAATATAATATTATTATCATATGTGCAGTATATTTACCTCGATTTTATGCAGTCGACATTTTATGTAATGCACATAATGTACAAATATAGGTAAATACAGGTTTATTTATCATTATACGAAAGAGAGTGTTCTACGCATACAGAATACTGAATTTTTGATGAACACGAATTAATGAGGCATCTGATGTAAAGTACTTTATACTATACTAACTTGATTAATTAAGACGTCAGACTTTCCTTAATATTTTATGCGTACAATAATGTATTTATGATTAATGATCTATATATATTCGATCCATATGTATGAAGACTTTTGGCAATTTTGATGAACTAATTATTTATAGCTATAGTAACTTATAAATTTGTGTTAAACTTAAGCCTATCAGACTTATCGCATTGTAAATTAATAAATAAATAACAATAAGAATTATCGGTAAACATAACAATAAAAAATCATTATCGGTAATGAAAAAGACGCGTTTTTCAGTCAAGTGTAGGAAATATAATTTAAAATCTAGTTGAAAATAGGTGAAAATAAGAAAATAGTATTGTAGTAAACATAAGAGGTATAGCAGTCTACAATAAAAAAAATCTCTAACTACAATCATTTATATGAAGAGGAATAAATGTACAATGATGACAAGTGTGACAGTGACAAGTAATCTATCAAATAGACTACTTAACAAGGTACATTTTCTTTTTGTACAACAAAATGTTAGCTACCGCTTAGCTAATGATCACAGATATGAGATCAGGTATAGGGATATGGCACTGAAGTTATGCATTACTTGAACCAAATCTATCTCGAAATAATTGAACGTAGTTAGAACATTTATATTAGAATAAAATAGTGACGCTGACTGGTTCAGGTTTAAC